ACCCTGTAAACCCGTCAGAACTTCTGAGCTCCCTGGAGACTCACTAAGCCTGGTCCCAGCTCCCCCGTCTGGGAATCGCCCCTTCTCTGCCCCCAGATGCTGTCACCCTTGTGGGAAGAGGTGTGGGTCCCCGTGGACTGAGTCCCCTCTTTCACAGACTCCCACCTGGAGCCCACCAGCGACCCACTCTGCTCCAGGCCTCCTGGGACCCCGCAGTGACGCCTCCAGGGCCCACCCCGAGCCAGCTCCTAAGCCCCTGCTGCGGGGGCCTGAAGGGTCCTTTCCGGGCTCAGCGGCTCCTGGCCCTCCCGGCCCTTCTGCTCCAGCCGTGCACGTCGGTGTCAGTTCTGGGTGACCAGTTGGCGACACGGCTCCCAAACCCACGAGCCAGAGCCCCGGGCCGGGCCAGGCCAGGAGAGCCGGAGCAACTGCAGTGGGTCTCCCAAGAGGCCTGGGGAGGGCTGCCTCCCAGCTGCAAGCAAAGCTCTTCCTCCATGCACTGGGGAGCAGCCTGGCCCCAAATCCTGAGCCAACTCCCTCCTTTCTCTGGTCAGGATGCAGGTGCATGGGAACCCACACCTTGGCCGCTGGGCGTCACCCAGAGCCCTGAGTTTACCCCTCGACAGCCCTGGGCCCGGCTGCCCTGGAGGGAGGACTGCAGGCCCTGAAGGAGATTCTGGGGATTCACAAGGAGAGAGAAGGGGTAGGCTGCAGGGGAGGATGGCAGAGGCAGCGGGCCCGGCGCCCAGCCGAGGGGGCGTGCGGATAGAGCCGTGCCCGCTTCCATCTTCGTTCAGCCCCGTCGGAATGAGGCTTTGCTCGTATTTGTTATGGCCACCTTTCGTGCTATTCCTTGCCCGTCTATGGTGGGGATGGTCTGCTTTCTCTACCTCGTTTTTTTGTTTTGTTTTGTTTTGGTACCGGGGATCAAACTGAGGACCTTGTGCTTGCCAGGCAGGCAGTGGTGGCACAGAGCTAAATCCTTGGCCCCTCTCTTTTTTTTTTGAGACAGAGTCTCACTGTGTAGTCCAGGCTGGCTTTGAACGCATGGCAATCCTCAGAGAGTGTTCAGCCTGTGCACCGTGTTCCCATCCTTTCTCTCTGCAGTTGGCTGGATCTGAGGCAGCGGAATAGCAGCTGCAAAACCAACATTGCACAGGCTGGGTGTGGTGGCGCACACCTGTCATCCCAGCACTTGGGAGGCTGAGGCAGGAGGATCACTGTGAGTTCCAGACCAGCCTGGGCCACATAGTGAGTTCAGGTCAGTCTCAACTACAGAGTGAGACCCTGTCTCAAAAAACCAAAAAACAAAACAAATAAACCCATGTTGCACAAAGCCGTGGGCACCTTCACGGTTCCCAGATACAACAGATCCCAAAGTCTCCCGATGTCACCTCCTGCGAACTTGTGTGATCTTGCTTTGTCTATTTGCATGTGTGTGTGTGTGTGTGTGTGTGTGTGTGTGTGTGTGTGTGTGTGTGTTACTGGAGACTGAACTCAAAGCCTTCACACTGAGCTACATAATTAACCTTTTCTGGTGGTGGTGTTGTTTTTGAGACAGGGTCTTGCTAAATTGCCCAGGCTGGCCTTGAACTTGCAACCCCCATGCCTCAGCCTCTAGAGTGCTGGGATGACAGGAGTGTGCCGCTGTGCACAGCTGCGAACTGCAACACACAAACATCTTGTTTTTATTCCCCTTCCTCCTTCCATCCTCTCCCTCCTTCCATCTGTTGAACCTTCCCATTTGTAAAAGATCTCTATTATCTTTTATTTTGCTCCTAAATTATTTATACTTTGGGTTTCTCATGGAAGAGAGACCACGTGTAGCCTTTGTTTCTGACTGATTTCACTTAATCTCACGGTCTCAAGGTGCATCAAATGACTCCGTTTCGTTCTTGTTTGTGGCACAGTAGTGCTCCACTGTGCAAACACCACATTCTTTTTCCCTTTGTCTGAGACACAGCCCAGCCAGAGGCACTCAACTTTGTTGGTGTAAGTTCTGACCTCGAATTAACTGACCTAGCGTGGGTCCCTAGGCAAGTCTAAAGCCCAGACAGGACTGAGCACCATGGGCCTAGGACAGGTGTGGTACAGAGCTGCCGGAATCATAGAGAATTGCCGTCTCCTGAGTCCCCCGCGATGTGACGGTCCAGGAGGAGAGCAGAGAGAGCCCAGTCTCATGATGGAAAGTGAGGCTCAGGGAGAGCCCCGCAGCACTTCCAGACAGCAGTGCGTAATGAGGGAGGCTAACCCTGGTCAGAGCCGAGGCGTGACACAGCCCCAGCTGCCTCCAGGCCCTGCCAGGCCCTGCTGTGGTGGCTGTGAGAGTTGCAGTTTGGGAAAATCGAGGAAGGGGTTGGGTCCACATTTGGCCAAGGCCCCACCCCTGGAGAACTCCTATGGGAAGCCCTATGCTTCAGGGAGGGCTTGTCACACCACTGCGGGGC